CCAGGAAAATAGACAATAGGAACAAAGCCAAATCTCTGGATATATTTCTTTGCATATTGTCTTTGAAGATCAAGCTATTAAATTGTTAGCAACAATCAAATAGAAGTGATACATACAGCATATACATATACGCACTAATAAAGATGTTCCAGTTTCCCCTTCTTTTCTATACATTGATACTTACCCATCTCCGCAAAGTACTTTGAAACCTACAGATAAAAGCTCTATGTACTTTTAAGTATTATTTCAGACAATGAAAACTATATTCTAGACTTTCCCAAGTAAATGCAAGCACTCAACAAAAAATTGATGCTATATACCCATGGGAAAGTGCATCTTACCAGATAAGACGACAAAGACTTATTCATAAATAGAAAAGAATACAGCAGTTCATAAGAGTAACACAAACTTGTTATTTGACTTGTGTATAAACCAAAAGAATTAAGTTTTATTTGCATACAGCTTCACAAGAAGAGGTAAGAAGTGGTAACTCTTTTTCTACATTTTACTAAAGGCTAATGTTATTAACTCCATAGAAGTTCATTAATACAGGTAATTTTACAAGATTCAGTGTTCTACAACAGCAAAAAAGTGGGGGCAAGCCTCTTATTTAGGAACCTAAATTTAGGCATCCAGTTTGAAAATTCTGGCCTAAAATCATAACACTGTCCTTTTCCCCACATCTGTGCTGTATGTAGCTAATATTTCTAGGGAATCAGTCTTCTGTTAAACAATCAAATGTAATGCATTTCTATTCTGAAAGTTCAATTTAAAGGTTAAATACACCCAAACCAATGGCAACGTAACCATGGGCAAAGACCAGAGCTGGAAAGTTGAAGCCACCACTGGCCTTTGTTCCCTGTGCTAGAGGGCCAATTATGTTATTGAGATGTCAGAACTGTCACCTAGACACAGCAGAAAGTCAAACTATATGACCTAACAGCATCCCTAAGGCCTGATTACCCTTACAAATCTGTGCAAGTCAGGAGTAACTCCATTAAAGTAAATGAAGATGCACTCTGTTTACATCAGTGTAGAGCAAGTATCACACTGCCCTCAATTTGTTTGTTTTTTTAAATTCTCTGCTTGGCCTTTGGGGAGGGACAAAAGAGAAGGAAACAATACAATACAATAATAATTTGTTCATGCCACCTGACAGCCAACAGAGCATCATTCATTAGTACTTATTATCAATGATCCACCTTTTAAGGGGAATGGTCTGATCATGCTAGTTTGAAAAAGGAGCAGAGGAAAAAAGGGTTAACTCCCCGAGAACCCCATTTCTCTAGGTATGTATATAAAAATGATGGTAGTATCTCAGTACCACATGCGAGTTCTAGCCAAGACTAGAACCATCAAAAACAGAGGCTGGTACAAGCTAATAAGTGAAAGGCTACCACAGCATTTACAAAGATATACCGTGTAATTTCTTTTACTACCATATTAATCATTATGGAGCACTGACATTTAGGCCTATAAAGTCTTATTAATAGAGATACCGGGCACAGGCATAGGGAAAAAAGACTTGCGGTTTAATTGCTATATTAAAAGTTTTACTCAGCACTACTCTGAAGTTTCACTTCATACTATAGAAAAACTAAGTTGTTTGACAAAATTAAATTTTAATGACATTATCATTTCTGAGTGTCACTGACAGACATCAAGAGTGGCATTGTGCCAGTGCCATTATAGAAACCAAACAGGGGTGGGGGGAAAAATTGCAAGCATGTGTCAGTTCTACCTGAAGACCATAGGAACACCAGGATATGTTGCTTATAATCTTTATGAAGTAGTAATGAATTTTACTTAAAAGTGCCCCACAATGGGAACAGCTCTCCCCTCCATGTTAACTTTTGGGTTGCAATGCAAAACAAAATGCATGCAAGGTTTTGCTATTCTGCAGAAAGCTAAACACTGGTAGGCACTTCACCAAGGCATACAAATATATCACAGCTCTGAAGAGAAGAACACAAAAATCATAGCTTTATTAATGTACAAAAAGTTACAGTGCTGTTCACATTACAAATATGTTCCACCTACAAAAATGCTCAACAACTATGTACAGCCAATTGAAAGAGGTCATCAGCCAATTTCTCCACTCTTGGGAGATTCCATCATTATTACAGCCTTGCCTTAGAGAGGCGCTCCTAGACTACCCCAAATCTTCCACCTCATGTCTTCCAAAAGATTCACAGGTAACATGGACAACTTTTCTTCTTGCCCATTTCTGGCAATTAAGCTTATGGTATTTCAACCCCCTTTCACCCCCATTCCAGACTCCCGTGCAAAGACAGGAAGTCGTGGAGTTACTGCCATTCCCAGTCTGATGACCTCTCAGTATAAGCCACTTAATAAACAAAATATACACATGTGTTTTGGCCAGTATACCATCAACAGTGTTATTCTGATCCTTCTAAGCAATGACTTGTAGGCTTAACACAAACATAGGGAAAGAATTAGATGGCATTTCAACAGTCAGCTCTTTGATTGCTATTCATATAAATGATCTCAAAACAAGAGAAAGTTTCTCACTGGACCCTCATGAGAAAATTCCCACTAGTTATGTGTTCTTATACAGACGTACAAAAAAAAAAAAAAAATAATCCCTAGCTACTGAGCACTTAATATCTTTAACATACCCCTTGAGGTAGGTAAATGGGTAAATTTGAAATGGGACTACGAAATGGTAAGATGAGGCACAAAGAGGTAAGTGATTTGTTTGCAGGTCAGCATCCAAGCCAGTAGTGTGCTGGAAGGTAGAGTTTTTGAATATAGCCAGAAATTAATGTGTTATTTGAGGACAGGTTGCAGAGCAACTGATGGTGAGGAAGCCAGTTTTGTCAAAACCTCTATTGCAGAGCAGGTTACAGAATCAGTGTCCCGTTACTAGTCAGACACTAGATGGAAGCTAGACTCAAATGAGAACGGGATAGAGGATACTTGCAAGCCCTATGTACTGGTTAGTGTTAACACAGGATTAACCATGAAGAGCAAGAGAAAGACAAACGAAAGTGTAGGTCCTCTACTTAGCAGGGAAGCAGAGCTAATGACTGACAGCATCAAGAAAGCTGGGTGTTTAATGCCTATTTCACTTCAGTCTTCACTAAAAAGGTTAATGGTGTTGAGTATTGGGTCACAATATTAACAACAAAGGGGAAGGAATGCAAGCCAAAATAGGGAAGAACGGGTTAAAGAACATTTAGATAAGTTAGACGTATTCAAGTTGTTAGGCCCTGATGAAATTCATCCTATTGTACTTATGGAACTAGCTGAAGCAACTTCATAACCGTAAGCAAGTATCTTCGAGAATTCATGGATGCTGGGTGAATAACTCGAAGATTGGAGAAGGGCAAAAATAGTACCTATCTTTAAAAAGGGGAACAAAGAGGACCCAGGGAATTATAGACCAGTCAGCTTAACTTGCACACATGGAAAGATACTGGAACAAATTATTAACCAATTTGTAAGCAGCTAGAGGATAGCAGGGTTATAAGAAATAGCAAATCATGCCAAACCAACCTAAATTCCTTCTTTAACAGGGTTACTGGCCTAGTGGATGAGGGGAAGCAGTAGACATGATATACCTTGATTTTTAGTAAGGCTTTTGACACAGACCCACATGGCAGTCTCATAAGTAAAACAGGTAAATGTGGTCTATTTGAAATTACTATCAGGTGAGTATACAACTGATTGAAAGACCATACTCAAAGAGTAGTTATCAATGGTTTGCTGTCAAACTGGTAGGGATGAATCTAGTGGGGTCCCGCAGGAGTTAGTCCTGGGTCTGGTACTATTCACTATTTTCATTAATAACATGGAGAATGCTGTGGAGAGTATACTTATAAAATTTGCAGTCGACACCATGCTGGGAAGCACGTAGGAGGATAGGATTAGAATTCTAAATGACTGACAAACTGGAAAATTGGTCTGAAATCAACAAGATGAAATTCAGTAAAGGTAAGTGCAAAGTACTACACCTAGAAAGGAAAAATCAAATGCAGAACTACAAAATGGGGAATGAGTGACCAGGTGACAGTACTGCTGAAAAGGATCTGGGGGTTGTAGTGGATCACAAACTGAATATGAGTCAACAGCGTGATGTAGTTGTGAAAAAAGCTAATGTCATTCTGGAGTGTATTAACTGGAGTTCCATATATAAAAAACGCAGGAGGTAATTGTCCTGCTCTACCTGGCACTAGAGAGGCCTCAGCTGGAATACTGTATCAGTTCTGGGTGCCATACTTTAGGAAAGATGTAGATAAACTAGAAAGAGTCCAAAGGAGAACAAGAATGATAAAAGGTTTGGAAAATCTGACCGGTGGGGTGGTGTGGGGTGGGGAGGAGGGAAGAGAAGGGGAGACCCTAGGCATGTTTAGTCTTAAGAAAAGAACTAGGGAGGACCTGATAACAGTCCTCCACGATGTTAAGGGCTGTTATAAAGAAGACAGTGATTACATTGTTCTCTATGTCAACTGAAGGTAAGACAACAAGTAATGGGCTTAATCTGCAGCAAGGGAAATTTAAGTTGGTTATCAGGAAAAACTTTCTAACTAGAAGGGTAGTTAAGCACTGGAATAGACTTCCAAGGGAGGTTGTGGAATCGGCATCCTTGAAGGTTTTTAAGAACAGAGGGATGGTCCTGCCTCAGCACTCAGAGGGCTGGACTCGATGACCTCTTGAGGTCCCTTCTAGCCCTATATTTCTATGAATAATTGGAAACAGTCTGTTTAGTCAGAGCCCTAATATCCAGGGCTTTGGAGCTGTGTTCTGGCTCCACTCCAGCTCCAGGCAAAAACCTGAAGCTCCACTGCTCCGGAGCTGCTCTACGCTCCAGCTCCAGGATCTGGTCCAAAGCCCTGCTAATGTTCATAACTTTCCAACAATTACAGTCTATTATACCAAAGCATAAGAGACAACATACCATGCTGCACACTTACATTTAAATGTGTTATGGTGCATGCACGTGTGTATACACACACACACACACACACACACCTCTAACAAACAAAATGTTTATTCCACACACATCTAATTTAAGATAGAAATATGTGAACGAGCCATCTGAAACTCGTTAATCCTGAATTACATCTTATTGTCTACAAGAATACTGCTATGAGGGATCAAAATGAACAAAATTAACACAATGAACATTAACTCGCTCAGAGGTTATGTATCTGTCCAGTCTCCCCTCTTCACAGGGGAAGGGGGGGGGCGGTAAATCCATAGTTACTACAGTCTTTTGTGCACAGACCTGACAGACCTGTGAAACTCCATGGATGGGCAACCCAAACCCACCTTAACTTCCGCCACATCAAGAACTTGCCAAGGACAACAGGATGTGGACGCAACTGCAAAATGCTCCTTCCTGCCAGTTGAAAGCAACGAAGCTTTAACTTTCAACTGGTATGACCATCTCCCTCCCTGCCCCCCAAATCCTAGACTCCCGTGCACAGATGGGATGTCATGGAACAGTCCTGAAAAATTCATTTCCCCAGACAAAAGCAGATTAGCCTTTACCAAAACCCAGGCAGGAATGTAGGGCCCCTTTTAAATCTGCTGTAAAAACATCAGCTCCTACATCAGACAGGTCATCTACATCAGGCAGGAACATGTTTGGCTTATCATAAGTGATTAAATCATGTCTCAAAAACATTATGCCATTTTCACTGCAATAATGGGACATTTCCCTGTTAATCCCCTTCCGTGCCTTTTCTATACTCACTGGTTTTTCGGCTCCTTTCCAAAAACGCCTTGGCAACAGTGAAGACCAAATTATATGGGCATCAGGGAAGGCCCTTCTAAGGATGCCCAAGTCATTTTTCATTTTGACAATAAGTGACATACTGGTGTGTTGCACAAGATCATTTTCCCCAAGGTGAATTACTATAATTGATGGAAAAGACCTGAGACAATAAATTTCATGAAGAAGAGGCAAGAGCTGATCCCACAGCATTGCCTGTATGCCATGCCAATACAAAAATGCACTCGAACTTGGGAAACCCAGCTGCAGCCCATGGGGGTGAGTGCTTGCCCTCCTCTTTGTCACCAAAATCACAGAATGGCCGCAAATCCATATTTCCTTTGGTTCAGCTTGCAAAAAGTTATCACCACCTAAAAATAAAATACCGTACAGTTAATCATTTTACAGACCCTATAAGGTGTATATCCCACCACCCCAGGAACACCAGTCCTAGCTGACTGAAAACTATAAAGATCAAAACTAACAAGTGTGACAGTTTTTCAAGTACCAAACTATAACAAAGAAAAGAGTAAAAACCAACCCCATGATGAGCAGGCTGGTTTCCCTTAGATCTATACTTTAAATTCCACCTTACTTCCCTTAAAGCTCAAAGCAAACTCCCCACAAACATCCTTCACTGATAGGATTTAATTCAAACTCTGAGCCTATTCCTAATGTCACATATGTCTTTCCCATACAAGATGCACAATATTGTCAATTTGTTTTTGAGGTGGGGAGGGGGGGGAGAAGAGGGAGAGAGAGAGAGAGAGAGAGAGAGAGGTCACCTTCATGATTCTTCATACCATGTTGTTCAGGCTATTAATCTCTATAGGGTCACAACTGATTTTCTTGCCATGACCAAGTTTAAGCAAAGATTTTCACAGAACATTCCTGCTTTTCTGTATTAATTCCTCATATCCCATCAGTAGAATGCATGCAGGACAGCAGTCCTCATATTGCAAGAGCACATGCTAATTCCAGTCACTCACTCTCAAATCACACTCTGCCTGCTATCAGTACTCCTGTTCCAATTCTGCCCACAATACAAGCAAGAACTGGAAGAGGGACAACTGGATACATGGATGTATGTGAGCACGAAGAGGAAAGGGAGCAGAGTTTGGGAAGGGGAGACATAGGAAGCAGCAAAGGTTGTCAAAAACAGATGAAGGAGAAAAGAAAGAAGAGCCTTAATTGGAAGAACATGGAATTAAAAAAAGAAAGAAAAATCCAGCCCACCACAGATATCACCCCTCAGTCACAACAAGAGGTACTCAATCAAGAAGTAGCAATTCAAATATGTGAAGGATATAAACACTAAGGAGGAAGATAAATAACTTACAGTAGTGCATGGGGACTGTGAACACTTAAGACAGTGACCATCTTCCATGGGTATGTACAGAATGAATCAGAACAGGGACCCAAATCCTGACCGAGGCCTCTGGCCATTACCTCAATTCAAGTAATAACAGCAAAGAATGGAACAAAGCTTAAAAAAGTAGGCTGAATACAAGAAAGTACTTCCCTATTGCACAGCCTAATATATGTTGCCACCAGGAAGTGGAAACTCCATCGGCTGGGATATTCAGACCTATAGACAGCACTGGGAAAAAGTCTTGTAGCAAACAATCCCGCCCTAGTCAGGTAGCAGGTGTGTAAACTAAATGATTGAACAGATGACTTCCATCACTACTTCCTACAATTCCCACATTTCCTGATTGAAATCAAGCATCAGAGAAAGACTAAGTCACATAACCTCAGGTAAGAAAATAACAAAAGATACTGAAAAATCAGAAGGGGAAAGGCATAATTTTGTTTTAGCATTAAGATGATTTCCAAATACATTACATTTTTCCAAAAGAGCAATCAGGATGAGGGCTCACTTTCCCCTAGATGTGAAATTAGAATCCACAGGACATTAGATGTCTTTGCTTGTCTCACTCACCTCCACCTTTTCATTCTGAATCAGCTGCAATGCACTCCTTGCTACAGTTCCTTGCCATTGCTTCATTCACTGAAAGTCAAGTAACCTCCAGAGACGCAAGGTGGGTGAGGTAGTATCTTTTATTAGATCAACTTCTGTTGGTGAGAGAGTCTCTCTAATATCCTGGGACCGAAACCGCTACAACGACACTGCATACAAGTAATCTCCAGCTCACAGCATGACTTCTTTTGACAGTTAGTAGTTTACATTTCCTGCACCTCCAAATCCAAACTGCCTAAGATTTTCTGTTATTTAGTTACTGCTTACAGAGCAACATCTTCCCTGCCACTAATTCACTGTTATGGTGATAATACCACAGTGACATTAGAGGCTGCAAAGTAACAAAGTACCCCAGTCATGTAAGCAAAAAAGAAGAGTCACTACCAAAGAAGAAGGAGAGGAAGACTGAAGGGCCAATGTGGAGATGGGGAAGGGGTGGCAGTGGGAGGGGGGCAGGAAGAGAGTCAGCAATATGCCAGGATTCCTTGGAAGCCTCAGATGTGAACTTGGAGTTCCCTCAGTCCATAATTTAAGATCTATTTTCTCCTAATGGATTCTCAGATGTTTGAGTTAAAAAAAAAAAAAAGTGTTAACAAAAACGAGAAATATTAAACAGTCTGAATAAAAATAAAAAAAAAACCACTACCTCTTCTCAGTTAATTATGGTTTTTGTTGCCTGGCTTCTCAAATGTCCTATTCCTAATTTTTTCTAGTCACCCATAGTCTTCCAGGTGAAACAGGGATCTACAGAAAATCATAGAATCATTTCTACTTCTCCCGCACCATTATATGTATATCAATCTCTTTTTAGGGTTTTTCTATCATACATCATAAAGAAGCAGGAAAATATACACAAATGATCTTCAGACTACCTCTAAAGATAAAGCATCATACCCTGGAACCCACAGTTTCAACATCTTCTGTTGCCACGGACTGCATTATAGAACTCCATAGGTTGAAGCCCTCCCACTCCACTCACCTGGTACCATGCCTCTAATGGGGGAATCTGGTGGGAAAAATGACAACAGGGGCTCCATATTGTAGGCCTCTGCTTGGTCCTCTGATCCCAGGGGGTTGGGCTTAGGCTCCTTTATCCTATCCTCAGTGCATGGTACAAGGTTCACTAAGGTTGTGCGCTCCTGACTAATAGGCTTCTTCTTTCTCTTGCGTTCTGTCACAAGTAGGGTGGGGGTCCAGGTGAGTTGCTGTGGCTCACTGCTCTTGCCACTTGTCTCTCTGCTCCCACTTCCCAGGTCCTCCTCAAAGGAACAGCCCACTTCCAGTTCTGTTTTCACTGCAGCCACTGCCACTGGGTCCAGCCAGCCACTCCCACCAGCTGCTACCACAGCCTTGAAGGCTTCCAAAAGGGCTGGACTATGGTTGTCATCAGGCCCAGGCAATTTGAGGAGCTTGGCTGCTGGAGTCCCACACACAGGGACATTGTTGTTGTGTCTCTTTGTGGCTGTCATTGAAACCACAGAACCCTTGAAAGCCAATGTGCTGCTGCTGTTGGGCTCCACTGTAGATACAGATATCCCACTGTTGTCTTTTGGCAGTGGGGTGGCCGCCTGTGACCCAAAAGAGGGAGACTGAATGATCTCATTGGCCACCTTCGCCGCGGGGCCCAGCGCCCCAGAGCTTGAGGCCGCCGACATCACCGCAGGGCCTGAGGTCACTGTGCTCCCACCAGCCACCTTCACCGTAGGGCCTGAGGTTGCTGCTGTCCTCGTCACCGTCCCACCAGCCACCTTCAATGTCGTCTCCGCTGTGCTGGGATCAGCCTCCTTCACCCCAGGACCCAAACCCACCACCATCATCTCCCCCACTCTCCCAGCGTCCACCTTTGCTGGGGGGCCCGGGGCTACCATGGTCACGCTCCCGCCAGCCACCTTCACCATGGGGCCCGAGGCTGCCACCACCATGGTCACGCTCCCACCAGCCACCTTCACCGCGGGGTCTGGGGCCGCCGCCGCCGCTGCGCTCCCGCCTGAGGCCGTCGTCATTGCTGGACCCACCGCGCTCCCTGCCCCCGCGCTCCCGCCAGCCACCTTGGGGTCTGCCGCTCCAGCCGCCTTAGCCTTAGGGCCCGATGCCGCGCTCCCACCGGCTGCTTTCGCCTTGGGGGCGGCTGCCGTCCTTGGCCGCGGCTGCCATCCCCGCTGCCCAGAGCCGGCCGCTCTCTTCCTGCGAGCGACTGGCCACGGCTGCTGGCGCTGGCCCTGGAACGGGGCCCAGGCTGAGGGGCAGCGGGCCCCGCGGGGCAGGCGCCAGACCTGGTTACCTTGACGCTGCTGCAGCATCTGCTGCCGCCGCCTCAGCTGCCGGTCCCTGAAATCTGAGAGAAGGGAGAGAGGGTGAGAACTAGCCGCGGGGCCGGGCCAGCCGCCTAATGACCTGGCTGGGATTTACTCAGCTATCACTTACCCACATCCAGCCCCACCATCTTGACACTGCGCATGCGCACAACGCGCGGGGCAACGTCGGACGCGTCCATTCGGGCATTCCCTGGGTCAGCGCATGGTAAGAGTTTAGAGCGATAATATCCGGGAACCATCCAGATGTTACGCATGCGCAAAGCACGACACCAGTCGCCAGCCCCGCGTAGGTGCATGCGCAGAGCGCGCTTTAGGCGTTCTAAACGGCTCACGCGCGGTGCGTAACGGTTCTCGCAGCCGCTTCCGGAGGCAAGACATATTTTCGTCCGGAGCGGCTCTGCGAACACGCATGCGCTGTACTGGATTTGGGGGCTGCTCTAGCTGGGTCCTTCTCCTGCTGCGCGGGCTGACTACGGAAGCCTGCCAGGGATAATTCAAACCAAAGTCACAACTCAGTTGGGAGAGGGGAGCCAGTCACGCCCAGTGATGGCTGTGTGCCTTCGATCCTCCCGACGGCATCTTCCCACAGCCTGTGTGAAGTCGGGGCGCCCAAGGGCCTCGCAGGTCGGTGTTGCCATGGCAGCAACACAGGGTCTCAGGCGGGGTTGCCATGGTGACAGACCAGGGTCTCTGTTCCCATGGCAGCCACACGGGGATTCACATGGCAGGGTCTCACTGCAGTTCGTAGGCAGGCTGAATGTTTAAACTGTTTGCCATCTGCCTGTGTACACTCAGTTGTTTCCCATACCTATTATTGTCATTCATTGTTTATATAGTGGCAGGGCCTAGGAGCCTCAGCTGTGGGTAACTTCCCACTGTGCTAGGTGCTGTACAAATATAACCAAAGGAGGGTTCCTGATGCAAAGAGTTTATACAGTCTCAGTATAAAACGAGAACAGCTAATCAGTTTTTTCCTTGCTGAAAACTCCTTATCAACATCAACACGGGAGCTGAAAAACCCATATAATTTTTTAATTAGTTAAAAAAGAATTGGGGCACACTCTTTAAAGTGGTTGCAATGTGGAATCTTGGTTCTTTTAAAATTTAAATTAACAGTGCCCTTTAACCTGTCATACCCTACACAGATACATTTCAACAGTAGTATCCAAATGAAAGGTGGCCTGTAGATTTAAAAAGAAAAAAATATGTAATATTGAACCCACAGCCTGTCAAGTGGGAATTGCCATTCCTTGAACTCCCATCTCTGGATTTGAGGGCTTGCCAAACAGGAAAATTTACCAGCATTACTATACTGGTATAATTATACTGCTATATTTATACCAGTCTAGCTCCCTGTGAGGACATTTATTCAGCAGAACAGTGGGCTTTTTTTTCAATTTAGCTTAGGAGAAAGGGGCTATTGTTTTTCCTAATAACAGTGTCTACATGAGGAATTATACCAGTATAACTATAGTGCTATAATTATACTAGTATAGTAATTCTGGTAAATTTCCCAGTGTAGACACGCCCTTTTTGATGGATCAGAAGTGGAGAGGAAACTTGTAGTCAGTTTATTAAAGAAGGGAATTTCCCTAAAGTTTTTGTACCTTCAAACTCTTGCACACAAAATGACTTTGTGTTTCTATTCTACAAGACAAACTAATATCAGATAGATGTACAACAGGCTTATCTTTATTAAAGCTTTCTAAGAAAGTACAGTTTTCCCCACACATTAAGAAACTGAACATTAAACCGGCAAAGGGTTCTAATCTCACAATCCCTTTTAACTGTTATGCTCTTAGCGTAGTTCAGGGAGATCGTAGATTAATTGGCTTCATTTCTTTTTACATTTGGGCCTTGTTAGCTCTGGCAAATTTCTGAGAATCTTTCACCATTACACAACCACTGTTGGAATTTTAACCACTCATGTCACCTACCTCTAAACGGGGTTAGACAGGATAGGGGTTAAAATGCCAGCAGATGGTCTACGCTCGTGCTTCTACCATTGCTGTCATCAGTGATAGTGTATTGTTAGGAGATTTTCAGAACTCTACCTGTGTAGAAGAAGCAGCCCAAATGTAAAGGAAAAAAACTAAAAAAGACAGGAATAATCCTGAAACTACAGGATTTTCAGACATGAAAGTCAAATTAAACCATGATTTCATGGTAAAGCCAGCATGATCTTGTAGTTAATATGCCTGCAGGCAAGTCCTCCACCCAAGTGAAAAAAATTAGAAAGCAAGATGTTTTTAAAAAGTTATATGTTATTGTATTATGGAATATACGTGGTGAAGAAGTGTTCTGCTAGTGAGATGGTTTCTCAAACCTAAAGGGCTAGTATAAAGAAATCTTAGTTTTTAAAGCGATTATTCCTTAGAATGGGGCTGGAAGAAGTTAAATGGATGTTGGGCGACATCAGCAGTGGCATAAACTAGGAAATGTCCCCTAATGTCAAGGGATTTAAAATATTTCATAAAAAAAGAGAGAAACTGGTGCATACCAAATATATGGAATGCACTACAATTTTCTTGATGAACTAAAAGTGCCAACGTCTGGCCAGAGCTGTTCAAAATACTTATCATGAAATAAAACACATTTGAAACATGCCCTTTTTTGTGAATTCACAGAGCTTCCACAACATGGAGTTTCCCACAAACATTCTGCATCAAGGAAAATTTAATCCAAATTGGGCATGGTAATTCCTGTTAATAATTTCAATGCATCTTTTGGCAGTGTATTTACCAATGGGTTTTGTTACCTGGTTGAAGTTACGTGGTATTTCTTCAGGCTGACTGATAGGCAGAGCCTATGCATTCAAGAGGATCAGCAGGAACCATCTTGACTTGTTTTGAAAGGGTAGGGTGTGGAGGAGGAAGGGACTTGCCCTTAAAGGATATAAGAAACTGGAACGGATTCCTAATCCAAGTACCAATGCATTAGATTTAGCTACTTATTTAATAAACAATGGGATCGGGAACCAGAGTGTGAGAGAACTAATTCAGCCCCTCTTGATGCTGATGCCCCTTTATTAATTATTATTATTTGTATTATGATAGCACCTAGGAGCTCAAATGATGGACCAGGCCCCATTGTGCTAGGGGCTGCACAAACACAGAACAAAGACAGTTTCTCCCACAAAGAGCTTACAATCTGTAACATGTGTTCCTGCCTGCTGGCATCTATGTTGGTGGCTCTCCTTTCTTGGCAGAGCATGGCTGGGCACCCAGCACCAGGACCGAATACCCCATTTTATATGTGTTCTTGAAGTGTGCTCTGTTCCTTACATGGGGTCCAGGACCATGGCTAGGATCCACACTGAATATTACATTACAAGCCCATTTTTCATCCAAGGAATAGTATTCCCAAACTTTGGACATTCTGCCCTTTCTCCTCCACCATCAGCTACATCACCTGACCTGACCTCCATGCTCCACCTACAACTACAATCTACCTTAACTAAATCTAAAACCTGCTCTCCCTCACTCTGTCTCACAAAGGACTATGACGTAGATGTAAATCAGTTTCTCACTGTGCTTCCCATCCTCTTGCCTCTGACCAAAGGTCATTTTCAAAGATGGCCACTGTCTTGCTTCCACTCAAAAATTCTAATGGAAGTGGCATTTTCTGCTGCTGCATTATGCAGTGAGAAAAACACACTTTTATGGAGAAGCAAATTTGGGGGTGGGGGGGGGTGGGGAGAATGAAATTTCTCAAACTGGAATGGAAAAGTTATTTGCATGAAACATAGTTCGACTGAACATTCTGTTCCACGTAGGTTTCAATGGTGATTATAGATGCAGTATATACCCATAAGGAGATACTTGGTCTGGGTGACAGCAAAAATGCACTCACAAAAGTTATTCGCATACTGTGCCTGGTAGCTTTATCCTCCTTCAGAATCACTGGTTTCCAGCCAAAAAACTCGGTGAATCATCTGATATCAGCCCCATACTGTCTGAATAATCAATATGCATGATCCTGACTAAGTGTATATGCTGCATTTGGGAGCATATTTTCCACCGTAGGAAGACAGACACATACTAGCTCTGCTTGAACTAGTGCACCAAGAATAGCAGTGTGGCTGTGGTGGCCTAGGCAGTAGCTCAGTCTAGCTGCCTGAGTATGTACAGAGGGGGTTGAACATGATTGTACTTGTGTGGCTAGCCCAAGCTGCTACCAGTATCACCATGGCTCAAGCTAGTGTGTGTGTGTCTATGCACACTGGGAAGCACACTCTCAGCTGCAGTGCAGATATACCCTAAAAGGGTAACCTCCCTGTAACAGGGTGCTGGCTAGGAGGTACTGAGCCAGGCCCCTGTTAGCCCAGCTCCAATTAAGAAGCATTCATTGGGGCTGGCTGAGTAGGCCATGCCAAATTGCTAGAAGAGAAGCACCTGCAGGCCTCATTAGCCAGGGGGCTTTATAAGGCTGGCAGGCAGGCAGGAAGTGAAGAGGGAGGGAGGCCCATGCATCCGTGCTGGCTGGAGAAGCTAGCTGTCCCTCAGGTTGCTGGTTTGGAGCAGACTATAAACAGAAGGTGGTGGGAACTGACACTGAAAATAAAAAGCACTGGTGATTGCACTCAGAAGAGGTCTCTGGCTGATTTGTTGCGAGGGCAAGTGAACTCCTCATTACACTCCCATTTTATCCATGTTAGAGTGTGCAGCAGCTGTGGTCTTACTTTACTCGGATTCCTTTAGACACCAAGATGATGGAGGATCAGAGTGAAGAAATACGTACTTACAAAGCATAGTCAGAATACAGTTACAACTTTCACCATGCGGTACGGTCTGGCTCTTACAAACTGGCCAGAAAGAGTTGAAATATCTCTGCATGGGATGAAAATACAGCAATAGCTCCTTTAGGAAAACCAGTAAAAAGGGATAGAAATTACAAGTCTTTGAAATATTTCAAAGAGGCCTATACATTTTTGCAAACCATCCAAAATATGAAACTGATTATGTATTTAGTGACAGTTTTATAGCACTACAGTCTCCAGTGTCGAATGATAAGGGGCTGAGGCAGCAGGCAGGCCATAGACTGTAGTGGCTGGGAGCCTACATGTCATAAAGTTTAAGCTGCTCCTTCATGTCTCCTTCAGACATCTCTCCAAATGTCTCACTGTTTTCCTTCATGAGCCTGAAGATGGCAGTCAGCTGCTCTCTCTGAACCCTGTCAAGAAGAAAAGTAAAAGGAGAAATAGCCACTCTCCAAGAGGCACTGTGAATAGCAATGATGGAGTCAAATGAGACATGACGCTCACCTTACGAGTCCTGTTGACTTCAGCAAACCTGCACATATACAATAAGCAGGATTTGACCCTTAATACCCACTCCTCATACACACACACACACACACACACATTATCCAACTCTTTATTCCAAGACATACCCCCTTATTTTGAGCTTTCTTAGGGCTTGTCTACAGACACTCTTATATTCTGGAATAAGTGTCCACACATGGAGTTATGCTAAAATAATTATTGCACTTTAAATATTACCTTAATCCAAATTAACTTTCAAGTGTACACAAGCCATTAGTCTGCTACTGGGAAATGAGTGATCAGAGAGAGAAGTCAGTCTTGCATTGGGGTTTACTAGGTTTTTTTTCCAGTGTTGAGTAATGGGCATCAGGAGTTGGCCCTGAACCTAGCACATGGACATATTCTGTTATACATACCCCTAATTTTTTTTAGGGGGAAGGAGGAGAGAGTACTGTTTCATTATTAGCTGGGATTGGTTACAGGACTGATGTGGTCTCACTGCAAGTCTCCCTGAGAGTGCAGCAAGTTTCCCACCTATTACACGCAGTCCTTGGCTCTCCTTCCTAGGATTATAAGAACTAAAGGAGCCGTAGTGTTATGACTGTAACAAGGGCGGAACAAGGCTTTGCTATTATTATCTAAACCTCAAAGCTCTTACTGCCCTTCCATCCCCCATGAGAACAGAGTCTGTTGACCCACAGCAGGTCAGAAATGCAGAGCTGGTGCTGTCCACAGATTCAAACCCCCTCAGCATCACTGGTCCCTGGAGCAGGCTGCTGACAGTGGATGGAAGATTGGCCTTCAGTCTCTGCCGTCCCAAAACCCACCTTCCCAGGATTCTCTGCTTCTGGCACAGCCAGCCCTCCTGTCTAGAGTAGTAGAATCTCATTCTCATTTCAGTTGCCAAACCTATCCTGACAAGTCCCTTCCTTACCTGCCAGATATTCTGGCACCCAGCCCTGGTAATAAACTCTAGGGACTCTTTTGCCGCAGCCGCGACAGACAACGGGCGAGTTTGCAGCAAGAGTTTTCGCTAACAAATGAAAGCATGAGAATTTTGTTTCACTCCATGGTGACGATACCACCATGGAATGAGTCTCTGCAGGTTGTGCTGGGAAGCAGATATTACAAGTGGCAATCTCACAAGCACAGGAAGATGGAAGATCAGAACTCAGCCGGCATTAAGCTTTGTCTTCACTGCACTAAAAGATGTGATTTTACATCAAGATAGTAATATCAATGTAAAATCCTACTGGAGACAAGTCAATATAGCTAGATGAGGTCAATCCTATAACACCCTCCCCCCCCCCCAAACTTGGGGTTAATTCCTTGTATCTAGTTGAGGTTAAAATTTATCTGTGTTTTGTCTCCACTAGGATTTTACATCTAGATAGTTATCTTGAGTTAGTTACCTTGATGTAGAAATACACCTTTTTTTGGTAGTGAAATCACAGTTTTAGGAATGTGGCTGCTTAAAACTTAAGGGGGAAGCTGCTTAGAAGTTGTGGCGATGGGAGTGGTATAAATGTCTAGAGCAGACAAAAGTCCTGAAAAGCTCTGTGTAGCTCGAAAGCTTGTTTCTTTCACCAATAAAAAAATATTACCTAACCTCCCTTCTTTCCCTAGAGAAGACAGAAACAGGTTCAATGTGTGTGTGAAACAACAGAGCACAGTACTGATCCATCAACAGCAATTCCACTGGGAATTTTGCATTAAAAAACAAAATCACTGGTAGGAGATGGGCCATAGTCACAGGTGAACAAAGGAGCTTTCAATCTGTGAAGCACAACCTGGAACTGGAAGGGTTGTGCGTGTTCCTTACATCTACCGATAAACACGAATACCGATCAGAAGTGGTGATAAGTGAGCTGCATTTCCCACCCGGCTTTAACATTGCAGGGGAAACAGAATTCTGAAAAAGCAGAGCTTAGCGAACAGCAGCAGTTATTGTGCCAATTACTTTGTTCTACAATCAAAATCCATGTGGCTGTAGCATTTAAAGACTATATATATTCTGTTAATGAGCTAGGATCATTTTGTTATGAAATGAAAGCTTCTCTGTACAGCCTTGGCTTGGAGCGGTCATTATACCCCTACTGAACCAATGACATCTCAACTCTATAACCCTCAAGAATCCCATTGTCTCTCATATACTTTACTCACTTGCATGAGAACACATTAAACTACCCTTTTCAGAATAGGAAAAAGGAAGGGAGGCAGAGCAGTTACAGATCTTTATATTTTATTTCAGAACTTAATTGGATTCCAGGGGGCATATCTCCTATCTAGTCTGGAGAAATTCAGTATGTGTTCTTCTCCTTATACAGGCATCTTTGAAGTTTATTCCAGCTGGGAACAAAAACTAGTTCTGGTTCTCTTCCTTATTGTTCCAAGAAGCTTAATAGATTGAGAAAAAGTCTAAACACAATTGCAACTTTTAGTGACCAAACACTTTTTTTCTAGTATGGTCACAGAAAAGTCTCAACATGTTTTTTGGTTTGTTTTTGTTTCAACCCAATATCAATGCACTTGGATTTCACTCATCACTGACAAAATAGGCTAAGGCTGGGATTTTCAAAACAGCTGAACTCTTGTTGAAAATCAATGGTATTTGGGTTCCTTGTTCCCTTAGCTCTTTGAAAATTCCAACTCAAGATTTTCAAAAGTAATTAATGATTTGAGGCACCTAATTTGAGACCCTGCAAATGGACCTGATTTTCAGAAAGTGCTGACTATCCACCTTCTGAAAAATCAGGTCCCCGTACAGCAGTGGTTCTCAAACTTTTGTACAGGTGACCCCTTTCACATAGCAAGCCTCTGAGTGCGACACACCTTATAAATTAAAAATACTTTTTTATACATTTAACACCATTATAAATGCTGGAGGCAAAGCGGGGTTTGGAGTGGAGGCTGACAGCTTGCAACCCCCCCATGTAATAACCTCACGACCCCCTGAGGGGTCCCAACCCCCAGTTTGAGAACCCCTGCCGTACAGGGTCTTGGCTACCCAAAAATGGAGGCTCCCAAAATAAACTTGTCACATTTGAAAATCTTGGCCAAAGATTCTGCAATTGGAACTTCACGAATACTACGGATGGTGAAGGAGCAAAAATAGAGTCCAGCTCATCTCTTCCAGCTCCACTGACTCTGCCTAGCTCCAACAGAAGTAAAATCAAAAGGTTTCAGGGTGTGATTTTTAACAGTGTTGGCCTAACTCTGCTCCCACTGAAGTCAATGGGACTACGTGTAGAGTAAGATACCCTTATTCACAGAGTGACATCACAGTCTGGCCCTCTGTCACTAAAGTCCTGACTCTGGGCACATATAGGAAGCAAAGCTGCTGAGTAGGACTTTACAAGTGTCTTCCTCCACATTCTATACGACAACAAGTCCTTATTGGGTATTTTCACATGAATAAGAATTCCCTGCTAGGGCAGCAAAAGCAGTGAAAGATATGTGACCCAGATGTAATGCTATAAATCACCACTAGACAAGTTCTGTGGAAGAGAGAAGGAGGGGAAAAAAGCAAAAGGTAAGAACAACACAATGCCCATCCAAATAAACTATTCAAAGATTTATTGAACTGAACAAAGGCAATTTACAGTTTCAAGCCACTAGAATTACAGTCCTGTGTATAAGAGCCACCTTCAGATGAAAAAAAAAAAAAGTTAAAAAAATACCTAGACAGCCTTTTTTATTGTTAAAGAAATAGCTTAACTCGCTGCCACTTGCAAAATCTGGGCTCGGCTATAGACTTTGCTTGCTTGATGTACATTTTGCCATATAACTTAAAGATATCTGTATATAAGGCATTCTTTGCATAGTCACACGCTTGGAACATCAAATCTGCCAGCCAGCACGAATTGGAGACAGAATGGCCAGCCATGTTGGATACCTCGAAGCAGAGCGGCCTTGTGTGTCTAGGAGTCATAAGCAATCCATTTAATGTGCTAGCAGTTACCGGCTTGGAAGGGGCAGCTTCCTTAAAGCTGAAGCCTCCGGCTATTTGTGAAATGAGCCCTTTTTACAGACAAACATTCTCCAAACCCAGGCGCTGCAAAGAACAACCGAGTAAATAGTTTCAAGTATTGTCTGTGTAGGAATAAAACAAAGCAGCCTGGTTTTTGATATGCTTGAAGCTTTAGCTAAGAGGCGGCCTCTCCACAAAAATTAAGGGAAGCTGGGAGGACAGATTCCAACTATGCTGTAATGCTGCAGGACATGAGGTGATATCAGCAGAGGACTCAAAACCCTCTTCCCATGGAAGGACTTCCTGCAAACCAACCCGACCCTATTTGAAGTTAGATCTCAATGGAGCGGGTGCTGATGCCCATCAGAGCTCATCCCCTGTACATGACAAGGCTCAGAAGAGGAGCTGAACCTCGGGCAAAGCAGGCAGGCCAGCAACAGTGACAAAAAGGAATGGGAAAGAGAAGGGGATATTAGAACAGCAAGGTGGTGTGGAGAAGGGAACGGGAAACGTTGTTGGCACCCCCAGAAACTCATCATAATCCAGAGGGAGCCCTCAATTTCAGGGCTACCTCCTCCACCCTCTCCCTCTTGGGAACTGGAGCAGGGAAAAGTAAATCCAGGCACTACCAGTCATTAACAAAGCTTGGGCTCCTAAACGGGAAGTCACCACAAACAGTAGAGCTACAAGACAAACCAATCTCACTTCTTAGGTCTTCCCTCTACCTAAACTAAAGGATCAGCTCTCTGCTGAAATGATTACAGAGCAAGATTAAGTCAGTCCAGTGATAAGTCTCTCAAACCCCCTTCCCCCCCCCCAATGCTAAACAATGTTTTAAATCTCCAGCTGTAATTTTCAAAGCTAAAGGATGAGTTTGGTCCCCGGAAGAAATGGGTTGGATACTCGGGTACAACATCTGGGTGGATCTAAAATAACATC